AGAATTCAGCTCTGGACTTTGACTAGGCCATAAATCTTCATATCCACTGTGTCTCTAGGTTGTTGTCCTGCTGGAAGCTGATCCTCCAGTTTCAGGTCTGACTGGTTTTCCTCCAGGTTCATTCTGGTTTCAGCTCCGTCTTCCTTCCACTAAACTTTCTGCCGCCTGTCTCCCTCCTGCTTCCTGTGTGAATCTTTTAATGAGCCAAACTCCCTGCTTTGGTTTGTTCTTTCTAACTTTCAAACAGGTTTTCTGATGACATCAGAGCCAAACGCACCACAACTTTACACACAATAAGTTTCTTTTAGACGACCTTTGAACCTCCGATAGTTTAGATTAAGAGAGATGATTCTGATCTTCATCTTTCTTCGGCCCTTCATCATTTTACTGACAGACCAAACAGCTCATTCCTCATTCAAGCTCCAACATGAGAACCTCGTCCTGCTATCAAAATGTTTGTTTCCAGTCAAACCATCCGACTCAGTTTGTGCTGATTGAGCTTCGTCTGTTTATCCTCCATGAGTTTTCATGCCGGCGCCATTTCAGTACAGCAGTATGTAAACTAATTCCTGTGTCTTTAAGCTTCTGTTCTGTTAGGTCTGCTAATCTAGCTTTCTGCTGTAGAGACAACGTGTTTCACCTGAAGCCGTCATGCAGGGAACCAGAGCAGAAACCGACAGCAGGTCCAGTCTGAGTAACGTCAGCGTTCCTTCAGCCATCGACCTGCAGCAGAACTGAACCGGAGCAGAGATGGAGGGACGACCCACAGATTCAGAACCACACAGCGTCAAGACTGGATTTACTAGAAGAAACGATCTTTTCTTTCCTAGGAGTCTCGTCAAAAAGGAAGGAGGAAGGTGATGGTAAACTTTATATGAGTGACATCATGAATAAAGGCGTATTCAGCTGAGAAATGGTGTAAACCGTAGAAGCTCATTTTAATTTGATCTCCTGCAGCTGCATGGAGAAACAGCTTCAGGAGGCTGAAGGTTCTGCAGCTCTCTGTCACAGAAACGGAGAAACAAGAAAAACGAGATTGAACTGGTTCAGAAAGCAGCAGAGTGTTTCCAGGTGAGTTTACAGCTTTTTATTAACTTTACAGAACACAGAGCTGTTAGATAATCCTGCTGGATTGGAAACTTTTCTCTGTGGAGGAAAAAAGGCTTCATGTTACTAAATACCATAAATTATGAGCTCAGGTTGTTGGTCTGTTCTGGGCTTTTGGTCACAGAAAACGATATAAACATAACTAAATTAAATTGAAGCATAAACTGAATGAAATCCTTCAGATTGATGATGTATTGCAATAAAATGAAGAAAATAAAGCTGGTATTCATCCCTGAGCTCAGAGCGAGTTCCTCATCAGAACCGCTTCAGTTTTAACCTGGACCGGTTCAGGTCAAAGGTCAAGTTCAGTTCTTCAGGAAGGTCTTACCTTCCCATGTTCACTGCTCACAGAGAGGAGGCTGTTTTACATGGAAACACTTTATTAACATTATGATTCCCAGGTTATGAATATGGCAAAACGTTTCATACAAACTAATATGAACGATGAGTCAATGCAGCTTGAAGCTTTTAAACCTGCAGAAACGTTACAGGCTGTAAATGTTTCCTTTGTTTTCTGTGTTTAATGTTGATCATTTACCAGAACAAAGTGAAACCCAGTAACTGTTTATTCCTCCGTTAGCAGCTGCAGCAGCGACTGCAGCAGCGACGGCAGCGGCAGCGGCGGCGGCGGCCATGTTTATGATAACAGGTCATGAGTCTCCGTGTCACTGTGGAGTTTCTGCTTCAGACACATTAAAGGGGTTTGAAGGTCATTTCACTGCATCTCAGCTGAGTTTAAGTCCAGACTTGGACTAGACCATAGACATGAATCACCTGTCAGGTGAACATGTCACACCTGAACTGTCTGGGTTTGTAGCCCAGCCATGTTTCATGATCCATTCTCTGATTTCATGATTAGAAATATAAACTTTTTAAGAAAGTTTCTTTTTTTTTCTCTGAGAAAGTAAAATAGTGTAAAAATGGAAACATTTTGCCCCAAAAACCTTTTTCCTTTTATTGGCCAGGTTTTTTTTCTCTATGTCTCCATAATTCATCCATCTCTGAAACTCAGCCAGATAGGAATCACTTTAAAACGAGGAACCAGCGACCTGTTCTTCTTCTTCTTTATATCTATAAATCAGAAAACTTAATATCTGAAAATGTTAGGTCACTTTTATTATACTCAAATATGTTACATGTTCAGTTTTAGCCAGTAAAAACTAAATATAGATGAATGGACGGCTTCCTGTTCTGAGTTATTTAATTTATATCAATAATGTGCTTAATTAGTATAAAATATCCAGTTAATATTGTTGCTGCTTTTGTTTTAACAGTTAAACTGAAACACAAAAACAGGACAAAAAATGTAAAACCAGTTTGTGGTATTATTATGCTATAATATAACACTAACATAATAACATTAATTAAAGACACCTGTACTATAATAATGGTTAATTCAACAGGAAAAAGTGTTTCACTGATTACTCAGTAAATTATAATTATCAGAATAAAATCATCTGAAAGGTGAAAAACAAAAAATAAACATCAGAGAAACAATGTTGATATGGAGAAGTTACAGTTCTTATAAGGTTTATACTGGATCTGTCCTGTAATACTCCAGCAGAACCAGCAGAGGGCAGAAGACTTCAATATGACAGTAAACTTGGATTTAATCAGTCATTAGAGATCTTTATTCTCTCTGCTGTTATTATGCAACATAACTACTTCCTCATAATTCTCACTGACTGACTGCTGACCAGCTCTCCGTCCAACAGGTCCAGAAAATCTCTAAACCTCTGAGTCTCTAAGGCAGGTTCATGGGAGATAATCTACTCAAGCTGGTGGCGAGAGACTCATCTGGTCTTTAACTGCCTTCATCCAAAAAGCTATGACCGTTTTCAGTTAATGGAGCGATGAGCTGAGGAACCCTTACAGCCGCATGGGTCCAAAAACCACTGCTGTTAACGGTAGCTGTCTCTCTCTCTCTCCCTCTCTCTCTCTCTCTCTCTCTCTCTCTCTCCCCATCAATAACAAGCAGCTGTTACAGACTAGATCAAGTTTAGTGGCTCAGTATAAGCCCCAAGGTCATTATTCTATAAATGCCAAAGAAACGTCTGAAGCCACCATATTTCTAGACTCATGCTCATGATTTTACATTAATCAGAAGAATCACACTCAGAAAATGACCCGATTAATTTGACTGTCCACAAATCTTATTAGAATTTTAATGCATCTTTATTAAGCTAGCTTTTAGCAGGGGAAAACAGCTTCAATTACTAATGAAACACAAATTTAATATAAAAGTTTAAAATCAATCTTTCCTATCACCTTTCACTATTCTGTCATTTAATTAACTGAGTGAGGCTTTGGGGTGCAGAACAACCCAGACCCAGATGGGGGATGATCTCAGCAACAGAAGGTTTGGTATCCTTGGTTCGGGTCTGGTCCTTGGTTCGGGTCTTGTTCTTGGTTCGGTATCCTTGGTTTGGGTCTGGTCCTTGGTTTGGGTCTTGTCCTTGGTTTGGTTCTTGTCCTTAATGGCAAAATCCTTTTCTGAATAGAAGCAAAGCTGAACTGAAGGTTGTCTTCCAGAGACTCGGTCTTTCGTCACATGATGGTCTTTGTCCATTCACCAAATCTGATGCAGCAACTGGAGATCTTTGGGTTGAGTGCAGGACGGCAGTCGGATCAGGAACCAGGGTTCTGGACTATCGGGTCTTGTTCCTTTCCAGCAGTGCCGAGTCTTCACCTCTCTGTGGTTCCTCGGTGCGGTCCTGCATCTTCATGTTGGCTTGAGTTCAGCACCGGGGAACTAAGAACAACTTGTTCCTCTGTTCAGGGGTTTTTATACTCTTTTTTCCCATGGTTGTGTGTGGCGATGGCCGATGTGACCTCTCGAACGTTCGATGACCTTTGTGTGTCAGTACCCTTCTTGTGCCACTAGGCGTTCATAGAAAAATGTCTGACCGTTCTACATCGTCAACGCCTCATTCACTTCTCCTTTTCTCCTTCAGCCGTTTATCCACTGACCAACTGGTTTCACTTCCTTAATCTGCTTCGGTGAGGGTTGTGGGCTATCAACCATACTCAGAAAATGACCCGAGGTTTTGTAGTTCCTCCTGCTTCCCGCTCAGCCTCGACTCACTGCTGACTTCAGCCTTTTAATTTTAACACAGCATGAGAAACGTGTCAATGCACTTCACACAATGCATGATTACCACAATTACAATTTTAAAATGCTGTATGATTAAATCATTAAACACAATCATCCTCGTCTGAATTTCTCAGACATAATCTTTGCTTTTAATAATCATCTATTTTTAATTTTATTTCCTAAATTTCAATTCATAATTTTAATCATTCTTTGATTCACACTTTCAATCAAAACACATGATGATTCATTTTATAACCATACTTAATAATCAAAATACAATATTACATATTATATAATCATAAGTAAATCAAAAGATTACATATTTCTCCCAGGTTTTATGATCCATTTCCTGGAAAGATCTCACCAACCTGTCAGTTTTCATCCAGTCGGTTTTACTTCAGTTTGTTCCTCTGTGGTGGAAACAGGATGAGGAAATGTTGGCAAGTCGTGAAGCTGCAGCAGCTCTGATCCACTCTGATGATGTTTGCAGTGAAGAACCTCAGGGCAGGGCCGGCCCAAAGCCGCTTAGGGCCCCAGGGCTACTAAGGGGCCCCTCAGTGGAATAGATTTTTTTTTTCTTTTAGTAATGATTTCTATGTCATTATAATAACAAAAACACACAATTTCATTATGAAGTGGATTGTTATTCAATAATATTCAGGGTTTCCCCAGAAAACCTGCTCAGCCCGGTGGTCGGGGTGTCGAGGCGTCCACCATGTTTTTGTATTAAAAGATGTTAAGTAGACAGAAAAAGTACAAATATTACTGCGTAATTATATGTTATGGGAAAACATCACCAGTGAAACACGACTTAAACCCACAACTAGTTTTAAAAACATCAAATCAAAAAATACAATAAAATGAATATCAATTATTTGTCTGACTAAGTGGGCAAAGCATTTGATACGGTTTCATGCATTGTGTAACCGGAAAAATAATAATAAAATAATATAAAACCAGCTTGATGCATGACACGAGGCGAGCGCAAAGCTATTTACCGGGCTGAACCTGAACCTGGTTAGTGCTGGTTTGTTAACTACTAATACACCGGCCAACCGGGACCGCTGTGTTGCACTAGCACCGCCACACCAGCAGGGGGCACACATGTTCAGGATACAGAGCTTGATTAGAGTAAGTAGAGTTCCATGTGTAGGAGAGCGATCGTTACAGTCAGTGGTCGTATGTTTGTTACCGGACTAAGAAATAAACGTTCAGCTTCCGGAGGAACCTTTGACTGTCTCTTGGTTGTCACCACACCACTGTGAAGCACCAAGGGAGTTAACCTGAAGTCCCCAACCACTTCAGCCTTGGAGCGAGAAGGAGCTCCTCTGTGTTTCCCCCAAGAAGTTTGGAGGTTCAGCAGGAAAGGTTAACAACATACATAAACTTTACAGGGAAGACAGAGCCACACGTTGGGCAGCGTGTTGAGATGAAAACGCCGCGTAATGTTTTGTTCACAAATATAAATCATTCTCACTGTTCGCTCAACGCTCCTCTGAAAGCGACTACAAGTTATTCCTGTGGTTCACATAGAGCCACGCAACCAGAGCTAACCAGGGTGATGTTTAAACTCTTACCTTGATATAGAGTTCTCCATAGAATCATAATTCCTCACAGGGGATTGATGTAAATATCCATACAGGTCAGCCTGTGTCCAGTTTAAGTGAAAGGAGGCTCGGGATCTGCGCTGAGGTAAACTTAATCCAGCTGCTGCAGCCCGAGGCAACGAGCAGAGGAGCCAGAGGTGTGATTGGACCGAGCGCTGCTGGCTTTAAATGCATAAACTACAAACCTATAAATATTTTAGAAATAAATGTGCTCCACAAGTAAAACTCTCAGAACAATGGAGATGCTTGCAATCCAG